GTCTAAAACAGGCCAAAAATGACCAAAATAGCACAAAATGACCATTTTCTGGAGGCTCTACAAGCATAACCACTCAATATTTTTAACTAATTCTTTGATAGGCTCATTCAGATTGACCAGAGGTATGTTCTGGCTACCTCTCCAGTTAGCGCATATTTTTTTTTTCAGAGGCCAAAAATGGCCTCCAGAATAAAAACCTTCTCAAGGCCCCAGCTTTCACTGAAATCAGTCCATACCAAGGGAAGTGTAACACAACTACATAATGTAAAAGAATACACAAATACATTTGAGGCACAATAGATTCTTAGAAAGAACCAGAAAAATGAACCAACCTTCATTCTTTTTGCACTCAACTGTATGTTCCGGAAAACTGCGAAATGCCCGGAACATTAATTAGAATGCACACAGGACATCCTAAAAACAACGTGGATGTCCACATAAATGTTCCGAAAAAAATGCGAAATGCCCGGAATGTTAATTGGAATATATGGGGGACATCCAGAAAGCACATGGTCATTGATTCAGGACATCTGAAAATCACCCTGGATGTCCATATGAATGTTCCGGAAAAATGCAAAATTCCTGGAACATTAATTAGAATACATATGGGACATCTGAAAAACATCCTGGATGTCTGGATAAATGTCCGGAAAAAAATGCGAAATGCCCGGAACATTAATTGGACTATACACAGGACATCCAAAAAGCACCTTGGATGTCCCAGAACATGAATTGGAATATATATGGGACATCTGTTAATTGGAATATACACGAGACATGCAAAAAGCACACGAACATTGATTCAGGACATCCAAATGGCACCCTGGATGTCCATGTAAATGTTCCGAAAAAATGCGAAATGCATGGATAACTAATTGTCTGCATGTCCACAATTGTCTGAAGTTCCATTGTATGAACTGAATGCCATTGAACGACCTCATCTACAAGTGAACATCACCAAGTTCTGCAAAGTGAGAGAACATCAGCATTTTCTGCAAAGTGCATAAGGACCTCCATGCTTGATATCTTGGTTATCTGAGTGATTTTATACATTGCTTTTGGGTACTAGAAATTGGGGGAATAGCTCATGCACATCCTAGGAAAAGCTCATAGGCACTTTATGTTTCTTGACACAGGAAGGTTATCTGTCCTAGAATATCATACCCTTCATTTCAAGACCTTCACATTGGCTCAGGAGATTTAACTAGAAACCAGAGTCCTATATGGACACCAGGGGTGCTTTTCTGACATCTTGTGGATATTAAATGTTATTCCCCGGACATTTTACATTTTTTTTCGGGACATCCAGAGTTGTTTTTGAGGTCCAGTGTATTTAAACTATTGTCCGGGAGATTTTGCATTCTCACAGGACATTTATATCGATACCAGGGTTGCTTTTCTAATGTCATGTGGATGTTAAAACTAGTGCTTCATAGATTTCACATTTTTGGGACATTTATATGGACACCAGTGTTGCTTTTTTGACATCTTGTGGGTAAGAAAAGTCATGCCCCAGACATTTCGCATTTTTCTGGGACATCCGGGGGTGTTATTTGGATGTCCTGTGGGTATTTAAATCAATGCTTTGGACATTTCGCATTTTCTTCAGACATTTACATGGCTACCATGGTTGTTTTTCTGATGTCCCGATTTACACAATTGGAGATCCAAGAAGATGAATGGGAAAAGACGGCTTTCAGATGTCATTTGGGCTTATGGCAGTTCCGTTGTATGCCTTTTGGGCTACAGAACGGCCCTTCAATATTTCAACGACTAATGCATATCTTCTAGGATACAAGCTGATTGCTGCTTTTACAACGAAACAACTGCAAATACGTGAACAAACATATCACATATGGTCAACTTTCGGCAGGGTCTCAGCTACATTTACTCATTCCTCAGCACTCCAATGGAGTCTACAACCCTCACCTGCTCTACAAAGCTCGGGCCTGGCCTCCAAGACGATGCCAACAAGAACAATTGTCCTTCGCATTGCAGTCTGACCATTCCTCAGAGGAATCTGCATCTGCTCAGAAGGGACGAACTTTCACACCCAAGATACATCGACTACCCAGTGTTCTTCGAAACCAACTGCATCTGAGAGGTCAGCAAGCCTACCAGCCCATGGACTCTGATTGTGAGGTCACCTTCTGCAATCATGTCCTCCTCTTTAATGCCTAATGAGGGTTTGGCTTTGTCTGTTTAACTTGAGCAGCTCACTCTTCGAGGTCTTTACCCTCCCTCACGTAATCCATATGGACTCCAGTGGACTCCAGTGGACTCCAGTGGATTCCAGTGGCCCTCTTACCAGGCCAGATTGGCTGGCAGAATGCCCAGTCCACTGGAGTCCAGTCCAGTCCACTGGACTCCCACTGGACTGCCAGCCACTTTCCTGAGTCCAGTCCCAGTCCAGTGGACTATGAGTCCAGTCAGAGTCCAGTGGAGTCCAGTGGATTCCAGTATATTATTATTATTATATATGAATACTACTAAAAAAGCGAAAATAGACTAATTGATCAATGAATGGAAATGTTATAATTTACATATAGTGTGGGTCAGTGATAGCTGCAATAAGGATTCATGATTTTGTTCAGTCTGCGGGGTGAGGTCACGTGACTTACTTGAGGGTGTGCCATATCGTCACGTCGCCTGTTTGTGGGATGGTCACACTGCCATGACCATCCCTTTCCCTTCCACCACCACCATTCACATCTCAACGCCGCCGACAATGCCCACGCCCACGCCCACGACACCCACGCCCACGCCCACGCCCATGCTAACGACGCACACGACGCCCACGCTAACGATAACGACGCCCCCAGCGTGGAACGATGGACCAAGGACGAGGGACAATGCCCATGATGTGGCAATGTCATGGGCAAGGGGTACGTATGCCCCATCACCCCATTCCTCCATTCTCACCACGACAGGCACGACGCCAGCAACCACCCATGCGGCACATGAGGACGACGACACCAACACATGAGGACGGCGACAACGACGACACGTGAGCACGACGATGACATGCGAGCACGGCGAAACACGATGACAACGACGAAACGCGAGCATGACAACATGCAAGCACAATGACAACAACACGCGAAGCCGACCACACGACGTACACGAACAAGCACCCACGGAAAACCGCCACCGGCCACCACCGCCTGCTGCCACGTCACACGAAAACCAGCCACCGCCCATGAAAAACAACCCCCACCCACAAAAACGACGACAACACGCGAGGACGACAACACACGATGACGACGATGACTACACATGACAACGACACGCGACAACGACGACGAATGAGCGCCAACGAAAACACCGCCCCCACCACACCCGAAAAACGATACACCCACGAAAAACGACGAGCGCCCGCCAGCGCTGAACGGCGCCGAGCGCCCGGCAGCATCACCCTTCCCCTCCACTCTCTCCCCCCATCACTACCTCCTCTCTTTACCACTCCCACTCCCCTCCACTCCCTCCCACCTTCACACTCTCCCCCCTTCAGTCTCTCCCCCTTTCCCCCCTCCCCCTTTCCTTGCTCCTCTCTCCCCCCCTCCCTTTCCTTCCCCCTTCCTTGCTCCCTCCCCCCTCTATTCATTCCTCTCTTCCCCCTCCCTTTCCCTTTCCCCTCCCTTTCCATTTCCCTTCCCCCTCCCTCCCCCCTCTGTAACATAGAATCTATGTAAATTTAATTAATTTAATTAATGAATATACTTCAATTTTATTTTTTGTTTTGAAGTCTAAGTTCAGGAATTCTGGATTAACTTAGGTCTGTGGCAGTCCAGTCCAGTCCAGTTTTGTGTTGGGAGAGTCCAGTGGAGTCCAGTTTTGTGATTTGCAGTCCAGTCCAGTCCAGTTTTGTGCTGGGAGTCCAGTGGAGTCCAGATTTGTGGATATTGCCAGTATGTAGTGAAGTCCAGGGGAATCCAGTGGAATCCAGTGGAATCCAGTGGAGTCCATGTGGATTATGTGGGGGATGGTAAAGTACTGCACTCTTCTCTTAATAGAATTTCTGTGATATTTTTCTTTCAAGTTCAGCAAGTATTTTTCCTGCTTTATCTCTGTGTTTGATTGTTGCTTTCCATTTTCTACAAAACCAATCCCTAAGATTTAGCAGTGATTTTTGGTCAAGATGATTACTTGAGTATCAATTGTATAGAGACTCCACCATCAAGACCAACAACCCCCTCACATTTGTTGCACTACTCAAAGAAACTGACATTGACAGCACATATGAGGATGGTGGATGACCTTAATACCAGACTCATGAGTCTCAGGAGGTTTATATGATCATTGATTTATCTTACTAGTGTTTCTATGTAGGTATCAATCAAGTGAGCTGAATTTGGATCATCTTGAATCAAATTAACAGGTCTGTCCTGGTCAGCCCTCTTCACAATTATTCTTCCCTCTGAGTTGAATGAGATTTTTCGAGTGATTAGGTATGCCATAAGTGTCTGAATTATTGTGTCATTATGGCTGCCAGACTGCCTTGCCACCTAATGTAAAAATTAGTTGATCAGATTGCATTCTCAAAGAAATTGGGCTAGACAGACCTCAGGAGAGAAACAAAAATTCTTCCTGAGCACAAGGGTGCTGGCCAAAAAACTTTTCCATTCTCCATTGAAGTATGTGGTGGAGATGGGTGCATCTTTCAGAATTTTGCACTGGTGGCCCCCTGGTTTAGGATATACTTGAGAAATATATCTTGATTCAGAATGTAGTGGGAAAATATATGATATAGTTGAGAAATAATGTATGTTGATTCAGCATATAGTGGATTTAGTGGAAAGATATACACTAACTGGGTAAAAAGATTGTCCAATCATTTTTTGGACAAAGTTGGTGCTATAACACAAGAATCAAACATTTTGAGAACTAAGCTCTAGTGTATAAAATATAGCTAAGGAGGTGTAGATTGTATATAACAAGTCTGGGGATGAACAATTGAAAACTCAGGATAAGGCAGGGAATTGACTGTGACAAGTGCCAAAAATGGGATGTAACAAAGTGGGAAATTCTGAATGACTGCAACCTACTGAAAGCAATTCACAACTTGAGGAAGAGATATTTTTAACACTGGATCTCCCTGCTATTGTTATGAGTTTCATAAAGTCTCTGGGCTAGAAAATTTTATACCCTCCTCTAAAAGGTAAATTTGAACTTATTCTCCATTTTATGTATTTTTCACCCAATATATTTGTTGGAATGAGGTAAAATGACTCCCTATTGTTGTTTGTAGTGTGTATAATACAAAAGGAAGGTAGAAATGTCGAGGGCCTTTGGTATTTAGAAATACCTCTTTCGTCTTCTTATGTTAAGTCTCAAGAGATGTTTAAGGTGTGGTTTAGAATAGTTCAATAGAACAAAGTATATCTTTCAGGGAACTTGGTCTATTAAATGCAAAGTTCTTTGATCACAGTTTTTTTTATTAACACAAAACACGACTTTTATGACTCCTGTGAGTTTTTATTATGTCACTATGCTCCAAAACAAAGGGTATGAGTATGCTGTCTCATCTAATTGATACTGTGTCCTTAAAACCTCTTATTCAAAAGTCTCCAAGTAAGTTGACTCCCCAAGCATGCTGGCTTCGTTCACACTGAACTTATCTGACCACGAAGAAATCTCCTTTTAATTGATTACAATTGTCTGCCTCCTAAGTCTCTACTTGGATGCATCAGTCTTTGATGTGTATGCGGGAATTGCCATACATGACTTTCTGAATGGCCGTGAGCTGTCTTTTCTGTGTTTTAGACATACCATTAGGTGTCTATGTCGTCTTTCTGTATATTTCTTGTATAAGTATGAGTTTCCACATTAAATACATTATGTGTTTCTAAACCGTTTGGTAGTAATGCAATTCTTCTCCCTGTGTTGGGTGTTTACTCTAGAACCTCTTTGTGTTCTATTTCATGGTAGGTGAATCTTAGATAGGATCAAAGTATAATGGCACAACATGTGCTGCTGCCAGTTCCAAAGCCCTCATCCTACTTTCAGATTCTACACATTAGGTAGTTTTGCAGAAGAAAAGTTGAAGTTGCAGTGGTAGTTGTCAGAAGGATGTTTGGCTGCAGCAGATGACACAAATAAACTATACTTTTTATGTGGATCTTTCAGACTCAGCAGTGATGGGCCATTAAACAACTCTTTGAGAAATGTGGCGAATGCTGGATCTTAAAATGGGAGCCACTAAGAGGATTTGCAGATCAGTTTAAAGGACCCATGTTCTGGAAGAGAGCACATTGAGGTTAAACCCAGAATGGGTTATAGTCAAAGTCTCATTGATTCTATCTGTGCTTTCAAACTCAACCTGTGACTGGAGCAGCCCAAATTGTTTCAGAAATTCTTCATGTCCCTTTCAAGCAAGGTAACCAGATTTTAGAATTATAGAATATTGGCAAGTTATTGTAGGAGGTCTACAAAGCAGGTTGAAAGCACAATATTGGCAAATTTTTGTAGAATGTCTGGAAGATATGTTGAAATTATCCTCTTTTGTTATGAGTCTGCCACGATTTTAGTAGTTGGCCTCTTTTTGTAACCATGCTGTCTGAATCATCGAATATTGGCCAGTTATTGTAGGAAGTCTGGAAAATGGGTTGAAAAATTATTCTCTTTTGTTACAAGTCCTCCACAAATCTTGTTGTTGGCCTGGTAATAGAATATTTATATCCTCCTTGCAAACAATTGTGGAATATTGGCAAGTTATGTAGGAGGTCTGGAAAGCTGGTTGAAATTTATTCTCCTTTGTCATTGGCTGCCAGAATTCTAGCTGTTAGTCTCTTTGTGTATCTAGGCTATCAGAATTGCAAGATTATGGCAGAGCAACACAGAATTTTATCCAAGGCTTATAATAATTAGTGTATTTACCACATTTTGCTTAGTTTGCACAGCATCTTCAAAATTATCCATAACTTTACTAATGGGGTCAAAGTGGTGCCACATTGTTTTGAAGTGACAAATAGGCTTCATTCAACAAGATATCAGGATGATGGTCACATGACCAATTACCAAAAATAGCCAAAAACAAAAGCTGTAGCTCTACACTGTAGCTTACTGAATCTGTATGAAGTATGTTCAAAAGTGCTCCCATTGTGCAGATATGAGGTAAATAAGGGGGAGTGGTGGTGTAGTGGCACCACTGCTCGCCTCTTGGTGCACTCAAGCCAGGAGGTTGGGGGTTCAAACCCTCCCCAAGACCATTCCCAGACTACATGTTGACACTGGGGATTTTTGCTGCTACTATTGACACCTGGGAGATCATGGGATTAGGGAGGATGTGCTGGACACTCAGTGATATTAGCCAGGTGCTGCAAAGGCTGGAATGCTGTCTGTCATAGTGGGAGCCATGGGATGTTGGAACCATCCCTCAGGGTTGCCTCTTTGGGAAAGTGGGACTGTGGTCTCACCGTGTTGGGAGTTCTGTGGCGATGGGACCAGTGATGGAGTGGCGGTGCAGTTGCTGGAAGGAAATCACTCCAAAGTTAAATAAACCAATACAACAAACTTAACCAGTTGCAGGCCAGGTTCAACACTGTTCTATTCTTGTATCAAGAAAACCTTCATTGACCCAGGAGATATATTGGAATGTAAAAAGATATCATGGGTGCCATGTTGTTTCTAAGGCTGAGGGTCATGCCAAGAATGAATAGTCAGGAAACACCTGGACCTTGGTCCCAAGATGTGGTCATCAAAGGGGAGCAGTAGTTATGTAGTTTGTATACTTTCATGACATTCTCTGGGATATAGTTGATACTTTTTGTGAAATCCTGGTGACTCCAGATGGAGTCCACCAAAATCACCTGGACTACCTGGAGTTGGTAAAGTACTGGCGGTGAGGGTTATCTGCACTGGAGGAGTGTTGCTTACAGCAATTTACAGAGCTTGAGAAATCACTAGCACCTGCAGCACCTGCAGCACCCTCAGCAGATGAGGGGGATGAGCAGAATGCTCATCATAGACAAGTTATTGGGTTTGCAACAGAAGTACTGCAATGAATGTGTTCATCGTAGCAAGATCCAGCGACTTTCATCAACTCTGATCAATTGACATTGTGCACACTCTGCCTCTCCATATAAATTTTATCTGACAACCACTCCATAAGTGTGGAATTTGAACCAGTCCAACTAAAACCAACACAGGGAAGTTTGTCAGAGGATTGATAAGATATTGTGTTCAGATCTATTCATTTGCCACCAGAATACTAGTATTTTTTGCAAGCATTTCATTCTTTGACAACCTCCTTACAACATGAAAATCTAAGCAGGAAATGAAAAGGTAACTACAACCCTGCAGCTCTCTCTTCTGCAGAACACATTGTACTGGACTCCACTATACCCATTCCTCAAAAGTCCACCAGAATTCCATAATTCCTGGTGATTTGGGATCATTCCAGTAGGAATTTACTAGGACTCCACTAGGACTAGGGTACAAAATTTGTATGGTGATCAGCCAACATGAAATTCGTCCCAGTCCCAGTCCAGTCCCGTAGGATTCCAGGAATCCAGTAGGAGGTGGGGGATTTATCACTGTTGATTTTATTATATAATATTTTTAAAAAGCGCAACATGACAGAATTCAACTCTCAACCTCATAGGCAGAACAGCAAATACTTCATAAACGAGTGCTTTACCAGTTGCACCACAATGGCATTGTTATAGGTAAGTATTATATACTCTACATACCAACGTGCTGACCTCCTTCCTAGAAAGGATGTTGGTGAATTCCATGAGTGGGAATTTCGCCCAAACCGTCAACCCACTGGGAAATGTGTTACACTTTTTTCTGACACACCTGATGTCAGGCACAGTATAGTGTCCGCTTTTTTCATTAGAAATGTGTGCAGTGTCCCCTTCTCTCATTACAAAGGTGTGTAGTGTCTGCTTTATTCATTACAAAATTGTGTAGTGTCCGCTTTTTTCATTAGAAAACTCTGTAGTGTCCACTTGATGCATTACAAAATTGTGTAGTGTCCGCTTTTTTATTACAACACTGTGTAGTGTCCGCTTTATTCATCACAAAATTGTGTAGTATCCGCTTTTTTCATTAGAAAACTCTGTAGTGTCCGCTCTTTTCATTAGAAAACTGTGCAGTGTCCACTTCTTTCATTACAAAGGTGTGTAGTGTCCGCTTTTTCATTAGAATAATGTGCAGTGTCTGCTTTATTCATTACAAAATTGTGCAGTGTCCGCTTTTTTGTAGTGTCCGCTTTCTTCATTACAAAATTGTGTAGTGTCGACTTTTTTCATTAGAAAACTTTGTGGACTGCCTTTCTGATATCTTGTGACTCCAGCAAAACAGCTCTTCATCATTTGGAATTCATACACCAGTTGTGTTTTGACTGAGCATCAAGTGTCCTAACTTTCCCCTTGAACAGCATCTGACAGTAGCCCCAACAGCTGGCAAATCAATCACTGAGATTGTCTTGAAAGAGATCAGGTTGAGGTTGGCTATGGTCAGACATAGATGGACAGAGATGAGTCCCCAGGGAGATGCAATGAATGTTGGACAACATGACTGAAGCTGGCCAAGGGGACAATTAGGACACTTGATGCTCAGTCAAAACACAACTTGTGTATGGATTCTAAATGATGAAGAGGTGTTTGGCTGGAGTCAGTTTCTCTGAAACATTGATCTATATCCCCAGGAAGCTACAAGATATCAGAAAGGCAAACCACAAAGTTTTGTAATGAAACAAGTGAACACTGCACACATTTCTACTGAAAAAAGCGGACACTACACAATTTTGTAATGCATCAAGTGGACACTACAGAGTTTTCTAATGAAAAAAGCGGACACTACACAATTTTGTAATGAATAAAGCAGACACTACACACCTTTGTAATGAGAGAAGGGGACACTGCACACATTTCTAATGAAAAAAGCGGACACTATACTGTGCCTGACATCAGGTGTGTCAGAAAAAAGTGTAACACATTTCCCAATTAGGAAATAGTGCACACATCATCACTGACAATGACCACACCATGCTAGCCATTAACTCTTCTGGCCCAAAAAGCATGGGAAATCATTCCCCACCTAAATGTGCACTGTGCCTGACATCAGGTGTGGCAGAAAAAAGTGTAACACTTTTCCCAATTAGGAAATGGCCCAATTAGGAAATAGTGCACACATCAAAGCATATACTACGCATGGGTCAAAGCTATTGGTAAATATCTGTCAACAAACATCCCAATGAGGGTATTCTGCCTACAAAATAATAGGTAAATCCCCTATCCCTATATTAAAAAACATCCCAAGTTTTTCTCTTAAATATAGGACCCCAGACACCGATCATTATATCCTGATGGAAATGACCTACAAAGGAAATTTGCCTTATTTGGTAAGGCATATTAAGATTCTTTTCCTCCACTGGACCCATTCTACCATACAAGGAGATAAGCTGACAAATAATCTCCTTATTTGACTTGCCTTTGTTCTTTACATTATAACACTCTACATGTCCCTCACTCTGGGTGTATTCAATTGAAAAGATGAAAAGCAGCCAGTCAACCTTTTTTGCTAATGAAGCTGCTTTGTATGTGCTCCCTGAGTTATTACCACAATTATTATGTTTAATTTTGGTGAAAAATAGCCATGCATCTATACATCATGCTTTCCCTATCTCCCTTCTTCTGGGTATCTTTTTCAAAATGTAAAAATCAGGTATTTTAGTTTCTGCTACAGGGTAGGTCTGCTTGTAGGATATATTGAAGGGCTGCTGTTGGTGACCAAGTCAGTAGTGGATGACATGGCCAATAGTGATGTTGATAACCCATTTTGTGTGACAAAGCCCAGGCATATTTGAAAAGGACTCTCAATGATCAATCTGATTGTTTGTTTTCTGGTTGTTTCCAGTACTTATCACTCCCCCACCTATTCCTACTGGACTCCAGGACTCCAGCAGGATTCCCACTGGATTTCAACAATTCTTCCAAAAAAGGCATTTTCCACCTATTGGACTCCTACTGGACTCCAACTGAACTTAGACAAAAAAAATCCAATGCTTCAGTTGGATTCCTACTGGAGTATCATGCATTCTATCAATTTTTGATTAAGTCAGTCAGACCTTTTAACACCTCAAAATTCCATACCAAACTTCCATTCACACATCAATATTATATTGATAACTATATACACAAATATATACAAAAGTATTTAATAATCTAATGTGGTCAGGGAGGGGGAAGGAGGAAGTGGTGGGGAATGATGAAGGGGGGAGAGTGAGTGAGGGGGAAGGCAGGGGGAGGGAGATGCAGGGGAAGGGAGGGAAGAGAGGTGGGAGTGATGGAGGAGGAGGGAGGGGAAGGATGGAGGGAGAGGGAGGGGAGGGATGGAGGGGGAAGACAGGGTGAGGACTTGTCATCTGTGAGCATGGGCAGGTTGATTTTCATGGGTGGCGGTCGTCATTTGTGGGTGCTGGATGTTTTTTGTGGGTGGTGGCAATCGTTTGTGGGTGCTGGGTGTTTTTTTTGGGTGGTGGTTGTCATTGGAGGGTGCCGGGGTTTTTTTTGTGGGTGGCAGTCGTCATTTATGTGCGGTGGGTGTTTTTTCGTGGGTGGTGTCTGTCATTTGAGGGCAGTGGTTGTTGTTTGAGGGCACTGGGTGTTTTTTCGTGGGTGGCAGTCATTGTTTGTGGGTGGTGAGTGTTCTTCATGATGCACATGGGTGGTTTTGTGGTCTAGAAGAAAAAAAACAACCAAATTTTGTAATTTGATTGCTACAAAAAATGCAGCCTCTTTTCAATTACACATTGGCAGATAGGAAATGAGTAAGGTAGATGGGTGAGTTAGTTATTTCTTTGTCCAACATCTGGAAGAGTGCCAGACAATGTTCTCTTGTTCCAGAGAGGGGGCTTCCCTTTCAGTTTGTCGAAAGAGGCTTTGGGGAAGAAAAACATGTTTCCGATATGCTGGATATCCCCTTTTGTTGGGGTGAGGGGCCAAAAACCTGGTGAAGTTCTTGTGCGCATTGGTGATATCTCCAAAGCATGTTGCTCTGTCATTAGGCAGTGAGGGGCCAAAGATACTGTCAATGCCACTTACTTAGAGGAATTCCATCCCAGTGCTGGTCTTCAGACTTAGACGCTTGAATGTCCTTCAGCATCCATTTATGGGGTCCAGGGTAGGCGGTCTGTATTCATGTTAAGCAGCATCATCCAAAAAAATTACTTGACTTACCCTTTCCCCCCTGCCTTTTCTTTCTGCTGTAGCCTGGTCATTCATCTGTGTTCTGTGGGAAAAGACACATGCCAAGGTCTTCCCAGTTTTGTCCATGAATTTTGCAGAGCAGGCATCTGCTTTGAGGTCCTGCATCCCAGAGATGATAGTGTTGGCCTTGTCGACATCTTTGTCACAATTTTTGGTTTGTTCCATAAGGTCGGTGAGTGTGATGCAGGAGAGAGTATAGGTGGGAGCATATTTCAACCACAGGTTGGCGGACCTTTCAGCGGACGCTATAGCAGCCTTCTCCTGTGACTCAGAAGAGCAATTTTCGGCCCTTTGTCACCCCACAGTGGGGTTCAATTCATCAATGTTGGGCAAGGGCACAGGAGCCTGTCTCTGCTAGAGTTGTGAATGCCCAAGAATCAAGGAAGAAACAAGCCGCTGACCAGGTTCAGCCTAATAGCAGAACACTGTTCTTCACCTTTAGAAGCAGTTGGGAGTGAAGATAAGACAGCCTCATACCTTTTTAATAACACTTTTGAAATTCCTTTACCTCATATCTCCACAACAGGAGCACTTCAGAACATAATTCAAACAGATTTAGGAAGCTATACAGTGCAGGGCTACAACTTTCGTTTTTGACCATTTTTGGTAATTTGTCATGTGACCATCATCCCAACAACCTGAGGGTCATACCACTCTGGAATGGGGTACCACTAAGGTTCCCTAATTCAAAGAATTGGATAACCTCATAGGTACCCAAAAATGGGTGGTTGAAGTGTATCCAGAGCCAAAATGTATTCAGTGGTGTGACAGGCAAGTTTAAAGAAGTATCTACAGCATTGGTCCTTCTTTTCTGGAAGAAGAAAAAATGCTACCATCCTTTTGAGTCAATACATGGAGACTTGGGATGTCTTTTAAATGATGCCTGAAGTATGGCATGATACTAAATAGATTGT